TTGCCATGATGTGGATGGAAACAAAACAAGTCAGAGAAGACAAATACCATATGATTTCACTTATATGTGAAATTTAAGAAACAAAACAGATGAACATAGGGGATAAAAAGAGAGAAGAGAGAGAGAGAAAGAGAGGGAGAGGCAAACCAGAAAACAGACTCTTGACAATATGGAACAAAAAGGGTTACTGGAGGGAGGTGGTGGGGGGATGGGCTAAATGGGTGATGGGGATTAAGTAGGGCACTTGTGAGCACTGGGTGTTATATGTAAGTGATGAATCACTAGGTTCTAAACCTAAAACTAACGTTACACTGTACGTTAACTAACTGGAATTTAAATAGAAACTTGAAAAAAAGTCTCGTGTTAAAATTAGAGAATTTGGAAAGACTGTCATCTCTATACTTGGAATGAGAACATTTGGGTGGATTCAGATGAATATGAGAACTTGTAATTCTAATCCTTCTGAGCTTCCCTTGTCAGTGGAAACAACTCCTCCTCTTCATCTCTCTGAGAAGACAAGTCTTTTCTTGCTTAAAGACTCCATAAAGATCTCACCCAAGATGATTTATAAGGTGATGCCTATTCTCATTGCCTGAAGACCTAATACCTAGAGTCAGAAACATCATGCCTCAGGGAGGGAAATCAAGGTCTGCTCCAGTAGGAGATAGGTACATTAAAAGAATTTCAAGCTCTTGCTAATTTGTATTAGTAGGGAAACACATGTGAGAATGGATTTTAATGATATTAGATTGAGATGAATGGAATATAATATTGGATTGAGCTGAAGTTCTGAAGTTATTGAAACAGGTACATTTACCTGATATTCTGGATTTAATATGTTGTCCTAGTCAGCTGTAAGTGGTTCTAAGAGTTTTCTTGGATGTTAACTAAAATTTGAATTCAGTGGTAGCCTACAATCAATGAGGTTAAGATGTCATAGCTTTTCTGGCATGATGTAGAAGGAATCCAAACATTTAGGGAGACAGAAATGCTGAAGTGAATTTATCGTGTTCACACCATTTGCCTTCCCCCCAACTATGTTCCAGGGGGCGGGGGTGGGGGGGCACTCAGAGGACTCTCTCTTTTACTAAGTCATTGAGAAATGAATCAGTGCAGGGAGATACTGATATTGAAATGGACTCTCAGATTTCAATGAGAACTATGGGATTTACATTATTGGGGAAACCCTAGCCCTGCTGAGCAGAAACCTGACTTGAATTGTCACAGTAACAAGTTATGGTATCTCATCATGTTCCCATACCTAAGTCAGTTTATAGACCTGGAGTCTCTTGACTGAAGAGGAGTCTATGTCACTTCAAGGGAAGACCTGTGGTCACTTAGTAGGATGACTGTGTCCTTGGAGGAAAGTTCAGAATGGACACTAGCTCTGAGCTGACAATTTCTAGAGGCTAGAAATAGCATTGTGATCTACTAAACAGAGGCTTATGGAGAATAGGGGATAAATTAAATTCTACCCCGAGTTTATCTCACAGTGGTCCCATCATATAAAGGAGCCACTCTGTGGTTTCTGAATTCCTGAATTCATGGTTGAAATACATATATTCAGCAACTAGTAGAGTACTTACATCAGTCTTTGACTCATGTATAAGGATGAACGTGGTAAGAAGGGTCAAATTGAAGCCAATGGAAAAGGCTCTCCTAGTAAAGTAGTAAATCAAAAGTTATATAATAATAACAGCTCCCTGTGGCGATTGTAAAGATTAGTGCTACCGTTAAAAACTCAAACACTGCAGGTTGTTGATTCCTATTACACCCTTGTTTAATATCTAATGATATCAGATTAAGATGAATGGAATATAATATTGGATTAAACTGAGGTTCTGAGGTTACTGAAACAGGTACGCTTCCCTGAGATTTGTTAATATCCTTACTTGTTTGGCCAGCATAAAAGATGGAGACATTTGCAGTATGCCTGGCAATCATCATAAAGTTTATCAAGTGGTGACTCCAACTACAGCTACTTCTCCTGGTGTTGTATCTTTGCTAGAGCAGTCCCTGGTATTTGGTCTGCAGGTGACAGATGTTTTTCCTTATACCAGTTAGTATGGATTATCCAAAGCAGTTTGCTTTTACCTGGCAGACATCAGCAAACCTCAGAGTTACACAAACTCCTGCGTTGTCGTAATGTAATCCACAGCGCCCTTGACCACCTGGACATCTTACAGACTACCGTTGTTCACACCGTGCTGAGCATTTTGAGCAGAAAGGAGCAAGAATCCCAGATGTCATGCTAATACAAATGTATGCCAGGAGGTGGAAGAAAAATTCAGGGGCCTGACACATCAGTGACATTTCTGCGGAGCATGTAGGGTTATTGGCTCTAGGCAAGTTCCTGCACCTTGCACCATTTACCAGCAAATCAGAGTATGCATAAAGCTCAGTGGGACTTTTTGGATATAGGAGACAACATATATTGTACATGAGTGCCACTCTGACCTGTGTATTGAGAAACCAATTTGAGGGAGACCCAGAGCAAGAGAAGGCTCTGTGTAAGATAGTCTGCAGAGTAAGGATCTGTGCCCCTTAGCCCGTTAAAGCGGCACATATAGATACTAAATAGAGCATTTTGCATAGCCAGGTAGAGAATGAATACTGGACACACGGGATTCTAAATTTACTTGAACTATGACTTCTACACACCATGAACTTAATGCTTTCTGATCCAACAAACTAAAAGCTTGGATATATGCAGCTGTAATCCATGATCAGTGGAAGTCATTTCTATGAGACTGGACTCGCTGATTGAAAAATTGGTGCCAAGAGGGCACCGGGGTGGCTCAGTTGGTTGGGTGACTGCCTTCGGCTCGGGCCATGATCCTGGGGTCCCGGGATCAAGTCCCACATCGGGTTCCCTGCAGAGCAGGGAGAAGGGGTCTCTGTATTGGATAAGGGAACTTATCACAATTATCAAGATGAAAGCAGACTGCTATTATACAATAGTAGAATGAGAGCTGTATTTACAATTCAAGGTGTTCCCTGGGAGCCTCTTAAACTACTTTATCCAACAGTCCTTGTTAGGGGAAAACCATGGCAATCCAATGAATAAAGACCCACTAAAGACTCAGATCCCACAGAGAAAACGTTTATGTCATCTCACTAGTAAAGGACCCTGTTCAGCTGAGCTTCTAGCAGAGGGTGAGGAACATAAAACTGGTGGTGGAAGAAAGAAGTGATCCATATGAACTTGACTTTAGAACTGGCTACAGAAATGAGGACTATAGCTGGCATGTATATTTATATTATAAACATAAGTGTGTGTGTGTGTATATATATGATATATATAGCTTTTTATATGCTAACCAATTATTTTCCTTTTTTCCTTCTCTTCCTACTTGTTTTTTTTTTTTTAAGGAGGAGTGTTAGTTATTCTTTTCTTTACAATTTAGATCAGAGTTCACCAAACGGAAGAGCCACATACAGTCCTGAGGGAGAGGACCTCATATCATCTTGGGTTCCTGGACATGATGAGGGAAACGATGTTGGGTGGTACTTTGTGTTTCACCCTTTTGGGAAGAAAGTGATTATTTATACAAAAGTTGGTTGAATTCTGCAAGGTAGAAACATGAAATTGTTTTATGGGAGTGAGGCATGGGTGGAAGGAGGAGTATGGATGCTTCGTGGCAAAATGCTTGAACTGTGGTAGCCATTTGTCTGTTTACTGTCAGATTCCTCTCTCATTTTTCCTGCACTCTGCTCAGTATGGCAGGGACCTATGTCTCCCAGACGCCCTTGCATCTGACTAGTGGATAGCACTGGACCGTGGAAAACAGGAAGACAGGATAGGAGAAGGGGAAAAGTCTGTATGTTTCTCTCTTGTGTCTGTCTCTGTCTCCATTTTTAGCAGTGACTGGGACTCCTCTTTTTGTTGTCCCCACTCGTGCCTGGCTACTCATGCTAGGTTCTAGCGATTTCTGGACATTCTACAATTTTTCCTTCAGCCTTAGGAGTGCTGTTGCCTTCATTTAAAAGAAAAAATTATGGGTTGCTCCACCCTCTCTTGTGTACTCCTCATTTTATATGTCCAGTTCCCTGCATTAAATCCCTACTGTTTAAAATACCGAGAGTAGTAGTATCTGTTTTCCTAACTGGACCCTGACTAGTGATAAAATCTGTGTGTGTGCATGTATGTGCGCATGTGTGTGGTATAAATCAGTTTGTATAAAATATTAAATAAGCCTGTGAGTGTGTGTGTGTGTGTGTGTATTCATGTGGTAGGTATGTAAATGCTTATGAAAGGATTATCGAAGGGTAGGTTTTCTTTTTTTTTTTTTTAAGATTTTATTTATTTATTTGACAGAGAGAGACACAGTGAGAGAGAGAACACAAGCAGGGGGAGTGGGAGATGGAGAAGCAGGCTTCCCGCCAAGCAGGGAGCCTGATGCGGGGCTCGATTCCAGGACCCTGGGATCATGACCTGAGCCAAAGGCAGACGCCTAACGACTGAGCCACCCAGGCGCCCCGAAGGGTAGGTTTTCAAAGGGAGAGTAAAGGGGGGCTTTCAATTTTCTCTGTATCTTGTTTATTTTCTTTTCAATTAGTTTTTACAACAAACAACTTTGTAGTTTTAAAACTACAAATTCAGGGGCGCCTGGGTGGCTCAGTTGTTTAAGCGACTGCCTTCGGCTCAGGTCATGATCCTGGAGTCCCGGGATCGAGTCCCGCATCGGGCTCCCTGCTCGGCAGGGAGTCTGCTTCTCCCTCTGACTCTCCCCCTCTCGTGCTCGCTCTCTATCACTCTCTCTCTCAATAAATAAAAAAAAAAAACTACAAATTCAAAAATTTTTTTGAATGACTCAGTTTCCTAAGTAATTATCTGTCCATCTGGTGGCAACTTTAACGTCTTTAATGTTTTACACAGAATATTACTATTCTTGCAGTGACTTCTTATCCATACCTCTAGACAATCCCCTTTCTTAAGCAATATGAGAAATGTGTATCCACATGGATCAATAAAAATATTTCAGGTTTCATTTTCTTGTGAGAGATTCTATTTTGTTCATTGTGATCCAACAAATAATATTTCCTCAACACTCACACAGGATATGAAATCACTGTATTTCCATCTGATGTCAATACATTCATTCTGCAACTGCTATATCCCATCTTATACAATTCAAAATGAATATGAGGAAAAGTATGAGTATGCTGTGTTGGTGGCCTTGCCATTTTGTTAGTGATTCTTTTTTTTTAGTGGTAAAATTTATCAAGTGCTAATTTCCTAAGGAATAAGACAAAATGATGCTCTTAACTTCAGCAACCTGAAGGAAGTGCTATATAATTACATTGTCACCCTAAGATGTTCATAATCCTTTTTAGCCCAAAAGAGTTTGATATTGTAAATAAAAGGAACATCTGTTTTAGTAAAATCCCAGCAATATTCCGGTGATAAGAGTTTAGTGGGTTTATGGAGAAAGAAATACTTGTTTAAGTGACTTTCATCATGCCACACTGCTTCGATGCTGTTTTTCTTGTCATTCATGATTCCTTTTAAGCACTCCCTGGCAATATCGAGAACTTGAATGGGAGTGCCACCAAATACAGCAGCATGGTAATAAAAATCTCCCATACCAAAAGGTATATATGCTTCTGATAACTCACTTCTTTCATATGGCACCGCTATAGGATCTTCCTTGTACCAATAAGCATGTAACTGAGCTACTGACTCCCCCAGAGTCTCCAATCCATATTTCCTTATGAAGATTTGATCCACGTCCATGCAGAAGAGAAAGTCAACTTCATATTGGATATGATCCATAACATGTTCACTAATAGCCTTCATGCGCATCATACTGATATCTTGCCATCTCTTCTCTCGCTTAATTTCAAACACTTTGATCGAACGGAGGGGATGCAGCTGTATCCAAGGCATCCTGGAGAAATCATCTATCAGGACATAAATTATGACTTTATGGCCAACCATAAAAAACTCATCCGCAGATAATATAAATTTCTTCAAATAGTAGTCGATATATCTGTGAACCAAATAAGAAATGACTAAGTTCATTGTCTTACATTTTGGTGGAACACATACTACTTAAATTATCCTGGCTGTGGTTTGTCCAAACATGCTAGTGAGCAAACCAAATATTAGGTATACTTCTTGAGTTGTATTTAAGTGGTGTAAAAGCAAGTGAAATCATCCACCTTTCCTCTCCATGACGGGGTTCTGTGAATTATAGGAGAGAAGAGGACTTCCTCACGAGGGGGAATGAAACTTGTTGAGATCAGGAAACAACACGGAGCCCAGTGCAAGATGAGAACCAGAGTCTTCAGGGTTATCAGAGAAGAGGGAACTTGCTTTTCAGGTTGTAGGCAAGAAGGTCTTGGGGCATTGCAAGAACAGTGGCTGATGTCTGGGGCTTGCTTTATGAGGGGTCAGTTATGCAGAAAAGGTTAGAGGTAGCATGGTCAGCTACCACTATCTGCAAGGTCTCTCTTATTTTGCCTTGTGGCCTTTAGTATAGTGCTAAGATTGTAGGATTAGAAAACAAAACTTTCTCTTTTCTGGTCTCTCCACCCAGTGAAAATTCTCAGAATAATAAATGGCCTCAGGTAAATTCAAAAAAGGAAGGGTAATCATACCTGCCTCAGCTTCAAATAATGTTTATATAATCATTAAAAATAAGTTCTGAATATTGACCTAAGTTTTAAGAAACATAGCAGATGGAGTCAGGAGAAAACTTTCTAGTTTGGAATGTCTAAAATTATGGCAATTTAAATAATTAAAGCAAGATAAATTATGAAAAATATCACTTAAAATATTCTACTGAATTGGAAACTAGCAACTCAAATCCAAAGAAATACAATGTATCCACATTTTTTATGGTTCGTGCTTTTGTATTACATTTCAGAAATCGTTGCCTCCTCAAAGTAGTGAAAATATGCTCCTATGTTTTCTTCTAGTTGCTTTATTGTTTTAACTTTCACATTAAGTTGGTTATCCATTTGAATTAATTTTTGTGTATGGCATAATATAGGGCTGTTTTTGTTCTCAGGCTTTGATAGTAATCCTGTTGGCTGGGAATGCCTGGGACTCACCTGAGCCCTGCTACTTGTGGTGAGACCCCCACAGACATTTCCCCTACCAGAGCCAGTGTTGGCTGGACCAGCCCTGGTGGTTCTTATTACACTTGCAAGATGCATCTCAGCAACAACCATCAGAGAACTTTGAAAAAACAAGGTTTATTTCTCACAAGTCCTGGAGGGTACAAGATAAGCACAGGGTCACAGAGTGAGGTCCTATGTAGGGAGAGAGAAGGGGGGACTTTGGGGGTTCTGCCCTTATCAGGGTGGGGGGCCTAGGGTTTCACAATTTAAAACCCAAAAGCAAGAATGAAAGCACAGGAAGGAAAACGCAGGGTCACTCAAGTGGTCGGTAATGAAGGTCACCCAGGCCTTTCTTTAAAAGGGGAATTTCAGGGGCGCCTGGGTGGCTCAGTCATTAAGCAGCTGCCTTTGGCTCAGGTCATGATCCCAGGGTCCTGGGATTGAGCCCCACATCGGGCTCCCTGCTCCGCGGGAAGCCTGCTTCTCCCTCTCCCACTCCCCCTGCTTGTGTTCCCTCTCTCACTGTGTCTCTCTCTGTCAAAATAAATAAATAAAATCTTAAATAAATAAATAAATAAATAAAAGGGGAATTTCATGGGAGGGGTGGCCTGGCTCTTTACCTAGTTGTTTAGCTAGTGACCACGTCAAGACTGGCAATAGGTTTATTTGAGCTGGATGTCTTTGACATGGAAAAAAAGTTATTGTCAGGCGCTCTCACTATAATGGAGAACTTTTTTCCCTCAATTTTTAAAACACTTTCTATTTTGGAATGGTATTAGATCTACAGAACAGGTGCAAACATATTATAGAGAGTTCCCATATATGCTCTACCCACCTTCCCCTAATGTTAATATCTTAACCATGGTACATTTGTCAAAACTAAGAAATTATCAGTGGTTAAAGACTATAACTAAACCACAGATTTTATTTTGATTTCACCAGTTTTTCCCCCTCAGGGCCTTTTTAGTTTCCAAGCTCCAATCCAGAATACATACTGCATTTTGTCATGATGTCTCCTTAGGCTCCTCCAGTCTGTTCTCAGTTTCTCTCTAGTTTGGGTTTTTCTGATGTTTTCTTAGGTAAAGTTAATTTTAATACAGTCACATTTATCAACCTTTTCCTTTATGATCAGTATTTTCTGTATCTTGATTAAGAACTCCTTTCTTGTCTTGATTTCACGAAGATACACTATGGTTTTCCCTTTAACTTTTGGTCTTCAAACTACCTGGGAATTATGTTTGTATATGCTTGCCATACATAATATGCCATAGAGGTACAATTGCGGTGTTCTCATGCGGACGTCGACTCTCTCCGGCATCATTTATGGAAGTCTTTCCCTACAGATCCACAATGTCATAGCCCTAGCCATAGTCTGTCACATTTGCGTGGGCGTTTGTTTTATTATATTGGCTTATTTGTTCATCCTTGTAGCAAATATTCATGTCTAAATGCTTTATATAGATACTTTCAATCTATCCTTCTGTTTTCAGTCCCACCTACACTCCTAATTTCAGAGGTACTCGATGCCATTAATTACTGAGATTTTCAGGGGTTCTTTAACACACACAAGGGAGTTTTTATGATAAAGTTAATGAGGCTTTGGTTTCAGTGCCCCTTCACTTGCACAGGACTCTTCTAAGACTCAGTGTGTTCTACTGAAGGAGGGTGCTGGAGGAGCAGTGGCCCAACTGTGTCCCCGATCACGGTTTATGGCAACCCCGAGCTGAGAGCCCGCGCCTCGGCTCCGTCTCTGCAGCCGGCTTCCCCGCTCCGATACCTGGGAGCTCTGCCGCACTCAGGCACCCCCGGTCTTTCTGTGACCCCGAGGGTCCTGAGACCACACTGTCCCGCGAGGGTTCCACCCCCAGCTTAGCCACTGGAGCGACGTCCCTCAGCGGAGCCGACTTCTAAAAGTTCCGATTTTGTGCTCCGCGGCTCCAGCACCCGCCAGAAGCGGCCGACGGAGGCCCCTCCCGCGCTGTGTATCCTCCCGAATATCGCCTCGGGTTCACTTCTCCGCACGTCCTACCTTCCAGAAAGTGGTCGCTTTTCTGTTCAGAGAGTTGTTGCTATTCTTCTCTTCGATCTCCTGTTGAGTTTGTAGGTGTTCAGAATGGTTTGATCCCTCTTCAGCTGAATTCCTGAGACCAGACGAAATCCAGGTCTCCTACTCCTCCGCCATCTTGCTCTGCCCCCCTACATCATTAGTTTTTGATGTAGTGTTCCATGATTCATTAGTTGTGTATAACACCCCGTGCTCATCACCACACATGCCCGCCTTAATACCCATCACCCGGTTATCCCATCCCCCACCCCCCTCCCTTCTGTAACCCTCAGTTTGTTTCCTGGAGTCCAGAGTCTTTCCTGGTTTGTCTCCCTCTCTGATTTTTCCCAATTCAGTTTTCCCTCCCTTCCCCTATGATCCTCGGCACTATTGCTTATATTCCACATATGACTGAAACCATATGATAATTGTCTTTCTCTGCTTGAATTATTTCCCTTAGCATAATACCCTCCAATTCCATCCATGTGGTTGCAAATGGTAGGTATTCATCCTTTCTGATGGCTGAGTAATATTCCATTGTATGTATATATACCACATCTTCTTTATCCATTCGTCTGTTGAAGGGCATCTCAGCTCCTTCCACAGTTTGGCTATTGTGGACATTGCTGCTATGAACATTGCGGTGCACGTGCCCCTTCTTTTCACTACATCTGTATCTTTGGGGTAAATACCTAGTAGTGCAGTTGGTGGGTCATATGGTAGCTCTTTTTTTAACTTCCTGAAGAACCTCTATACTGTTTTCCAAAGTGGCTACACCAGCTTGCATTCCCACAAACAGTTTAAGAGGGTTCCCTTTTCTCCACAACCTTGCCAACATTTGTTGTTTCCTGTCTTGTTAATTTTTTACCATTCTAACTGGTGTAAGGTGGTATCTCATTGTGGTTTTGATTTGTATTTCCCTGATGACTAGTGATATTGAACATTTTTTCATGTGTCTGTTAGCCATTTGTATGTCTTCTTTGGAGAAGTATCTGTTCATGTCTTCTGCCCATTTCTTGACCAGATTATTTGTTTTTTGGGTGTTGAGTTTGAGAAGTTCTTTATAAAAATTTATAATTTTAATGGGTAATATGTACATTGTTCAACTTAATACTTTCTTGTACTTTTTGGGTATGATTTTGATATGAGGGCCCCACTTGCTTCATAAGATGAATTGGAAAGTGTTCCTTTCTCTTCGATTTTTTGAAGATTATGTAGAACTGACGTTAATTCTTTAAATATTTGGTAGAATTTTCCAGTGAAAACATCTGGGCCTGGAGACTTTGGGAGTTTTTAAAATTATGAATTCTATTTCCTCAACAGATATAGGGCTATTGAAATGGTCAATTTCACGTTGGGTGGGTTGTGATAGTGTTTTCAAGGTCCATTTCACCTAAGTTTTCAAATGTATGTGTGTAGAGTTAGTATTCTCTAATTATCCTTTTGATGTCTGCCAGGTCTGAGGTGATATACCCTGTTTCTTTCCTAATATTTGTAATTTTTGTCAATTTTTTTTCTTTGCCAGACTTCCTGGATGATTGTGAATTTTATTGATTTTTTTTTCAAGGAAAAAGCTTTTTGATTTTTTGATTTTTCTCTATGGCCTCTCTGTTTTCAGTTTCATGGATTTCTGTTCTCATCTTTACTATTTCCCTACTTCTGTTTACTTTGGCTTTATTTTGTCCCACTTTTCCTAGATTCCTGAGGTGGGAGTATTGATAATCTACCATTTTCTACAATAAAAAGCTTGAATATAAAGGACATTTGGTATTACCTACCTTCCTACAGCAAATACAGTCAATCCCACAGTAATTTTATGTTTTTCATAATACTCTTCCAATACTTCTTCATTGAAAGTGCCATCCCATACAACCGGAGCTGACCAGCTGGTGGTAGACAGGTTCATGTATTCACTGTAAGAAAGACATAAGAATTATGAACAAGATATCTTTTAATAAAACTGCAGTAGTTAAAAAAAAAAAAACTGCAGTAGATGTTACTAATGTATAAAGCCTGTGTCTGGTTGCAGCATTTCCTTACTCCTAATTCGAAGCTTTGATGGTTATGATAGACTGGAGAAACAGCTTCTCAGAAATGGCCAGATCATTACAAAAGTACTTTACAAATTAGTTATACTGTGATTCCAAGGTCTTTGAGGACACAGTTAAAATGTCACCCAAAGTCTAAAATAGCAATTATCTCCTGTATTTGGACAAAATCTCCTGGTCTTAGGCTTTTTGACACTATTTTTAGAGACCATATTTTGAAAAATGACCTTTCCAGTTTCATATTCTAAAATGCTGCCAGGCTAATGTTACTGCATACTGTCAGAAACAACTTTGTCAAAACTCTGGAAGGTAGCCAAAGTTTGGCTACCTTCCAGAGTTTTAGAGCAATCAAGCAAAAGGTAAATCAAGAAAAGGATGACAACACAATAGGAGAAGGAAAGCTTTGTGGTATTTTAACTTAGCCTTACACCAACTCCCTGCCAGTATGGCAGTGGTATTGAAAACAGCAAATCATGTTCTCAGTGTGAGTACCTGCTTCTGGAGGAGAAGAGTGGATCTAACTCCGAAGGAATTGTGTTTGTTCATTTTGACCTGAGAGTTCCTCAAAGGACTGGACTGCTAGTGCTTTCCTTTGTTTTGCTTAACTCAGAACTCTCTCAAAATGGAAAAGTGGGTAAGTGGAGGGCAGTCCTTGAAAACATTTTAAAAAGGAACAAGCCCCTGCCACCTGAGGCAAGAAATTACAGTTGGATAAACACTAGATGTGCTGAAAGCCTGGGGAAGAAAAGTTTGGAAGAGAGTTCTTTGGAAAAGTAAAGGCTCTGATAAGATCCTATGTATAACAATGAATTAGGAAATCCGTGCACATGTTCAGGGCAGGTTACGTGCTCCAAAAAGATCCCTGAAGATCCTAAGCTTTCACCTCTGGATGATATTTAGACTCAGTGCAAGCAGGAAGTGAAGGCTAAGGCAGAGTTGTAAATAGCTGGGCTGTGTTGAAGGAGAAGCCCAAACACAGAACCAATCTTCAAAGACTGTAAGAGGGTTCTTTACTTTCTTCTTCTTCTTTCCTTTTCTCTTTTCTTTTCTTTCCTCTTTTCCTTCCTTTTCTTTTCTTCTTCTTCCCCCTTCTCCTCTTCCTCCATCTCTTCATCTTCTCCTTCTCCAGTAACCCCCCCAACCACCACCATCACCATCACTCTAGCTCTAGTCATTTAAGGATATCTCTGTCAAACCATTAGCTGACCACAAGCTAAAGGAACAGAGACCTCGCAGACCAAACAAGACAAAGAATATGGTCTTTAAAAAATAGTTTGGAAAAGTCACTAAACAGACAAACAACTCTAGGAGGTAAGAGAATCTGACTTCCAAAGTGATCACACTATAATATATAAAATTCCTAGTTTTCAACTAAAAATGATGAGGCATGCAAAGAAACAAGAATGTATGGTCCGTTCATAGGGAAACTGTCCCTAGGGAAGCCCAGACATTAGGCTTACTAAAACAAGACTTTAAACCAACTATTTTAAATGTGCTGAAAAAGCCAAAGAAAACTATGGACAAAGAACTAAAGGAAACTGAGAGAACAATAGCTTAACAAATAGAGAATGTGAATAAAGAGATAGAAATTATAAAAAGGAACCAAATAGAAATTCTGGAGCTGAGAAGTATAATAGCTGAAAAAACAAACAAACAAAAACTTGCCCTAAAAAACTTGCCCAACAGCAGATTTGAGCAGGCAGAAGAAAGAATCAGATACACATAGAACATTTTACCAACAACAGAATACATATTCTTCTCAAATACACATGGGACATTTTCCAGGATGATCGTATGTTAAGCCATAAAGCAAATCTCAATAAACTTAAGATGGCTGGAAACATGCAAACTAGCTTGTTCATTGACAATGGAATGAAATCAATAACAAAATTTGAAAAGTTCACAAATATGTGGAAATTGAACAACACACTCTTAAACAACCAAGGGGTCAAGAAAAAAATCACAAAGGGAATTAAAAAATACATTGAGATGAATGAAAACGAAAATAAAACATAGCAAAACTAATGGGATGCAGTGAAAAGCAATACTCAGAAGGAAATGTATAGCTGTAAACATCTATATTACAAAAGAAGAAAGATATCATATAATAACCTAACCTTCCACCTTAAGGAACTAGAAAAAAATAGCAAACTAAACCCAAAGCAAGCAAAGGAACAAAGAATAAAGACTGCAGCAGAGACAACTGACATAGAGGAAAGAGGAAAAAAATGATAAAATTAATGAAGCCAAAAGTTGGTTCTTTGAAAATATCAACAAAATTGACAAATCTTTTTTTTTTTTTTAAGATTTTATTTATTTATTTGAGAGAGAGAGAACGCATGAGCAGGGAGAATGGCAGGCAGAGGGAGAGGCAGGTAGAGGGAGAAGCAGGCTCCCTGGGAGCCCCGAAGCAAAAAAAAAAAAAGACAAAAGAAAAAGAAATGCAGTGGGAGTTGAATTTTATCAGTAGCTTATTTGGAATCTGTATAAATGATTATATGGTTTTCTCCTTTGTTCAATTGTTGGGATGAATCATCATCCTCAGTTACAAGGATATGCCTTACTTGTTAGTGGGACCCTGTGCCAGTTATTAAGCTAGCATCTTTCCATAACCAAACCCACCCCACTATACTAGGCTTTATTGTGCTGAGCTGGGACTCTGCGAGCCCCAGCGGGCACCCTGTGAGGCTCTGCTAATAGAGGGCACTGGAGGAAAATTACAAGCCTGGAGGAAGAAGGAACTTGCTCTTTCCTGTTTCCAGTGGGCTCCTTGCCTGCCTCCTGTTCCCTCAAATCCCACACCACCATATTAGCAGTTCCTTCCCAGACCAGCGGTTGAATCCAGATTTCAGCTTTTCCAACACTTGCAAACCCAGCCTCATGGTACCCTTCCCTAGAGGGCTGGTTCTCTGTCCCAAGAGGCCTTTCAAGAGCTCGGAGATACTAGCACAGTGGAGTGCATGAGTTTAAGCTCAAGTTACCTAGTTAACAACTTTATGCTGGTTAACAATTCTTTGTATTAAATTCTCTCTTAAAATAATCTGCGTGCTTTCTGTGTCCTGATTCGATCTGATAAAAGTTAGGATATCATGGAAAGATGAGTCACAGACCATTATCCAATCATCATCTTAACTGGACATCTCCTTGCACAGTTTTAATTAGGACAAGTCCTGAAACCCTGCAGCACCAGGGAGAAAGACTGGTGGGTGTAGTAAGAAGAGAGAGGCAGAGAGGCCAGAGGAAAGCCACCACATTAAAGTGAGAAGTGCACAGATGGCCCATCTATCTGATTTGGGCTCTGGTTCCCTCCCTGGTGAAATGAGGAGAATCAACCAAAAGATCTCAGATATACCCTTCATACTTTGACCTGCTATAATTTTAGGGCCTTTGGGTTTCTGTCATCCCACACTCTTATTTATGGAGGATGTAGGCCCTAATGTCCATTCCCAATGCGTCTTGGCCACTGCTTATTTTTTAAAATGTAATCAAAGATCCATCTGCCATCCAACAGTTGGAATGCCGTTTGTAGTATTGTTGCCATCTGTTAACTTCTGAACAATCTATGGATCAATCTCACATGTGTTTGATTTGGAATTCTTACCTGGGAGAAAACCAGTCTGATAGCTCTAATTCTTTTGATTGAGTATCCACAAACCTATCAGGAGGAATAATGCAAACAATCACACAGTATCTATTTGAGTTTGAGGTAACTGAGTGTCTAGCAAATCATGGGCTATGTTATAGTATGATGTAAAGTGCAAGATAAGCGTGAAGCAGTATGAAAAGCAATGATGAACTTTGATGGGAGTGGCATGGAAAATCATGATTTCTTACATCGACTTACCAGTCTCTGGGCTGCCCAGAAACCTTTATGTGTTTCCACAATGTTCATTCTCCTTCTTCTCATTGATAGAGAAATAGCTGTCATCACATGAAAGCTCCCTCAATCTTCTGCCACCTTGCCTCCAAATTTATCTTGAGCACTGATTTTCCCCCCTTTTATTGCAACGGAAATATAACCCTACTTTCTGGCCTTAAATATCCTATCTGCTCAGGACCCTTGGTTTGAAGGGTTCCGCCTAGGCTTTCTATTTGATCAGTTGACATGCGTGCAGGCATTTTCCTGTGGCTTCAGATTTGTATGTGCAGCTAGACTTCTCCTGGGAAAAGACCCAGACATCCAATTGTGTTCTGAAGTCTTCTACTTGAAGTTTGCACCGATGCCACAAGATCAAGATGTTTAATGTGAAAATCATCCTGTCTTCCCCAAAGTAGGTTCCCTTCATATTCATATGTTGCCTTATCACTTGGATTGGCAAGGCAGAAGTATGAGCCTCCATATTGCCATCCCCCGTAATTAACACTGTGATCCCCTCTGCCTGTCCTTGCACTGGCCTTTTTCAACCCATTCTCCATATGTCCACTGTGCTTCCACTGTCATGTTTCTGAAGCTCCAGTGTTCCCATGTCATTATTCTGTTTAACCGGGTTCAGTGGCTTCCCATTGTCCTGAGGATCACATCTACATTCCTTATATGGTCATGACATTCTGCGTGATCTGACCCTTCACACTGTTCCAGCCACGTCTCCTACCCAGCCCCACAGTGACAATTTTCCAGACTCACTTGCCTCTTTAAATTTCCTTAAACACGCCACGACTTCAACCAGTTAATTCCCACATAGCCTTTAGGTCTCCTGTTAAATATCCCTACTTAAGGGAAGTATACTCTAACCTGATGGATGAGGTTAGATTCCCTTCATTAATAGCTAATACTTATGGAATAATTTCCTAAGTATTATCTAATTTAATCCACTTCTATGATATAGGTATTGTTGTCATTATTATTATCCTCATTTTACTAGATAAGGAAATTGAGGCACAAAGAGTTTTTATTATCTTGTCCATGGTCACACAGCAGGTGGAAAGACAAATAGTTGGGCCTGAGTCCTTACTTCCTCCCTGCTACACACTCTAACGGCACCCTAGCTAGCCTATCTTTGGAGAGTTGATCCTGGGCTGAGTTCAGGAGGGGATTGGGCAGCTGTGGAGCTGAGTTGTATGTCATGAATGAGCACTGCAGTGCCCAGGGTGTGACTGAGACCATGGCCTTCTACACAGGCACCTGCCTCATTGACAGCAAAGCCTTTGGATGCTGAGAATTAGTGCATTAAGGCCATATGTGTAAGCCTGATGCTAAGGAGAGCTAATATTAATGATAGAGCGATTGTTAGATTGTGTTGCATTGTGTACATTTTACCAGAAAACATATTAAATCATTCTTTCTCCCAGCCTCTGCTGCAGCAGACTTCCCTTGCATGTTCCCACCTTTGTCTAGGGATTTTCCTCTTGTTTTCAGGTGGTTGAGAGTTACTGCCCCCTGTTAGCCATGGCTCTATAGAGGGGAAACATACCCTGCCCATGAAAACCATCTTACTGTATTATTTTCATGCACAGAGCAGCTCACCCACATATGGAGTCACGGTCCTGGTGAGAGTGTTGTGCACCATGGAACCACCAGAGACATAAGGCTCTTCGACACAACAAGCATCAGAAAGTTTCTTTTACTTCACTATGTGGGTTCCCATGACTGCAGGGAGAAATTGAAGAACATATTATGATTTGGGGTCTTGCACAATCTTTAAGGAAGTTTTCCTCTCTGCGTATGTTCTGGTAGTATGATTTTGTAGGTGGCCTGTGGTTAATAACAATCTCCTGAATCTTTTAACCAAAACTTTACTCCTGTGTGATTTCCCAGAGCTTTAAAAGACCCAAGATTCCTGGAAGCTGGGTTCTGGCTCCCATCACACGTTTCCCCTAACCACTTCTCACTCCTAGTACTCCTAGTCCTCTGACCTTACACGAGCATCTCCAACGTATGTTTGTAAAATTACTTTGGTTTACCCTGCCTGCAGGAGCCAAGGACTTGCAGGTACCCCACTGCCCTCCAACAGGTTTTGTCCTCAAAGAAGAGGTCATAGCATATTTGTAAATAAGACTTACCAGCACCGGTGTACCTTCTGTAGTTTCTTTGTGCTTAGGATAAACAAAAATAATTATATTACTTTTAAACTTATACAAAGGGTTTCCACATTTAATTTTTTTAAAGATTTTATTTATTTATTTGAGAGAGAGAGAGCACAGAGGGATAGCAGCTCGAACAGACTAAGACACATACTATGTGCAAACATTATTGGTTGTAGAGAGATACAGTAGTGAACATGATAAAAAAAATTACTGCAGTTAAGGACTTCATATGCTATATCTTAAAAAAAGGAAACCTAATTATTTGAGCTATGAATGAAAGAAGAACTAACTTAATATCATTGAAACAATGGAATTTGCTAATTGCCAATGAATTCTTTCTACTTGTGTAACTATGGGGAGGGCAGATATCATACATAGTACTGGAAGTCACCAATATTAGGGATGTTTCTTAAAGATGCCACCTATTGAAAAATGGCAGTTTCTCTAACATTTGCTAACTGCCATAATTACATGGTCACAATCTTGGTAGTTTACATTGCTTCTCCTCACACATATGAGCCTACAAAAATTATGTTTAGCTTTGATCACATTAGAAACAAAGAACTTTTATGCTGAAGGTTATGTTTATGCTGATAGATCTGAATGCCATTTGGATATTTCTGGGTATATTGGATTGATACATTTGGATGCTTATTTATTCAGGGGGTTAGCCTATCACCTTTCTGACAAACTAGATCCTTACTAAACCCCAGAATAAAATATTCATTAATTTTTTAAAAATTACCTGAAATGATACTGTCTGTGCAAAGCCCATAGAAACAATAAAAATAATAACAATTGAATTATTTTTCTTCCATATTTCATCCTTTCCTGAGAGGAAAAAGAAACAGATAAAAGTAGATTAAATGTAGCACAATGTACACAATGTATACAGAATAAGCTGTGTTGAATTGTGATTCTTCATGACATAAACCAGCTGATTTAACAGATATCGGCTAGGATTTGAGGCACATCTCGTCCTTGGATGTCTCTCTATATGAAAATAGAGTTGAGTCGAACACTTTTTGTGGGAGCTAGCTAGGACATTAGCTGGTCTAAGCCAGCCTTGATGCAAGAGATTTTACAACCTTCGTTTGTCTTTTCTAGAGTGCACAGGGCTTTTCCTACAGAAAATCAAAATACAAATGCCACTTCCCGGCCTAACTTACAGGGTGGGGTGTCAAAGAAAAGAGATAATTGTGAAAATACTTACTTGGACTTTAAGGAGGGGTATAGTTGTAAAGGAACTTATTTTTAATGAATTAATATTATGAAGACGATCATTCCAAATAGGTGATAGGACCAATAACAGCATAAAATAGATGCTCTTCCTCAAAAGTATTTAAATATAAAATTGATTCCAAGTATGGGCTAGAGGCTGAACTATAATTTTTAGATTATTTGTACTTTGACCTTGGAATTTTGCCATGAAGTTTATAAAAGCTCCTTTATGATACTCAGTCTATGTACTTACGAAATTGTGTGCAGAAAAGGAACTGAATGTGGCTCAGTTTGGTTGAAATTAAGGACAAACTCTTACCTTTTGTTTTCCTAAGATCACATAGGACTTTTATATAGTTTCTTCCTTAGAGACTTAACATTTACAGTATGGTTGTTTGAAAAGACATGTGGAAAATCTCAAGTGGGCTGTTTTCAAGCAGGACATTCTGAGACCTTTGAAAAATCATGAATCAGATAACCTGGTATTGGTTCTACGGCACTGCCCAGTTTGCCTGTTTATTATTTCAGTCTTCTGGGAATGATGATGTCATCAGATTCTCTTTTGATGATGAAAGAATTAGATACTTGTAATCATAACAATTCATATGCCAGTAGCTTCTCTTTGTCAATACCAAGGGACTAGATTTTGTCCCATTTAGGGGAAAAAAACATAGGATCATTAAAGTTCTTTTCCTTACTTGGGATTTTTTTTTATAATACATTTTTAATTGAAGTATTATTTACATGAAGTAAAACACATGCAATTTAAGTGTACAGCTCATTGGGTTTTTTACACATATACATGTCTATATAAATACCACTTCAATTAAGATACAGGATGTCTCCATGACCCCAGTAACTTTTTTCTTGTGCCCCTTTGTGTCACTACTCTCTCCCATCCAGGAAACCGGTGTTCTGATTTCTATTACCACAGCGGAGTTATTCCTGCTGTAGAACTTCATATAAGTAGAATTGCATGGCATGTATTCTTTGCATTTGATTTTTTTTTTTTCCACTCAGGGTTTTGCAACTCACCTATGTTGTGTGTATATGACACATACCAAAAGTTAATTCAAAATGAATTATAGATGTAAGCATAAAAGCTAAAGCCACAAGCTTTTAGAGAAAAACATAGGAGGATATCTTTCTAACCTGGGGATAGATAAAGGTCCCTTAGAAGGTGACAGAAAACAACAACTAAAAAAAATGATAAATTATACTTTATTATAATTAGAAAACTTTTGCTCATCGAAAGACACCATTAAGAAATTAATAATTAAGCCATTACTACTCACCAATGGTTTACAGTGACCTAAATAATACATACCATACGTGATCCATACAGGAAATAAAATCTATTATTAATATTAGAAGTTTTCTGTTGATCTCCATTCTTCCTAGAAGAAAAAAGGGGGATGGTGAAGAAGGATAATTAAATTAATACAGAATTAGAATGTTTTGAGTCATAGGAAAGTAGATCATACCAGACTAATGCTCCCATAGATGACAGTCATAAGTCCTGGAAGGGAAAATAAAATAAAAATTAAATAAAACTATTTGAAGTCAAAAGAGATGGAACAAAACCAGTTGATCCTTGAAAGGAGGGAAGTGTATCAGGTAAAATTTACATTTATACAACTTTTCATCTGAGGTTACCTCCCAATTCACACAGAGTTGGGTGGCTAGAACTCACAGAGAAAGACTTGAGCGGTCAGAGGATGAAATTCGTACATGTAAAGAAGGCTAAAAAATAATGTAGAAAACAGAAAGAGGAAAACACAGAATGGGGTACCCCAAAATCTGCATAGAAACTCTGACTTAAACCCTGGAGGACAACTAAACTGTCCATGCTTAGGAAAAACTGCAGTTTCCCTAGGAAATAGCAACATCTGAAATTGAGCAATTTCCGCCAATGCTCCCTGCAGGATAAATGGAGTTTGGAATTTGAGTCCAGCCCAGTTAACTATCTGTCCAAACAAAAATCAACACTCTTTAGAGGAAAATAACAGAATCCAGAGTCTCTACATGTCATCTATAATGTCAGGCATACATTTTGGAAAATTCCTAGACATGCAAAGAAACAGGAATATGTGACCCACACTGAAGAGAACAAGACCCCAATATAAATCAGATGTTGAAAGTGGTAACCAAGGACTTTAAAGGAACTATTATAAAAATGTTTGAGGATTTAATGGAAAGCTTGGTCAAAACAAATGAACAGAGGAAAGCTGTTTAAAAATGGACATTCTAGAAGGGGAGTAAATCGGAGGGAGAGATGAACCATTAGAGACGATGGACTCTGAGAAACAAACTGAGGGTTCTAGAGGGGAGGGGGTGGGGGGATGGGTTAGCCTGGTGATGGGTATTAAGGAGGGCACGTTCTGCATGGAGCACTGGGTGTTATGCACAAAAAATGACTCATGGAACACTACATCAAAAACTAATGATGTAATGTATGGTGATTAACATAACAATAAAAAATTTTTAAAAATGGACATTCTAGAACTTTGAAAGTACTGTATTTGAAATGAGGATGTTAGTGGATGGGCTTACAAATGGATTGTATACTCTAGAAGAAAAGTTCAGTGAAATGAAGGATAAAATCAATGTTAATCATCTTATGTGAAAAAGAGAGGAAATGAAAATCCATTTACATTTAAACTGCAATCAGAAGCCACCTTAGCCACCCACATTCAGAAGTTTTCACACTCTGTCATTATGACAGTCTCTCCAAGTTGGGGGCATTCCAGAGGAGGGGAAAGAGTGGGAAGCCTGGGGGTACATTGTCCTCTGGTTGGACAAATAAGATGGTAAGGGGCGCCTGGGTGGCTCAGTTGGTTAAGCGACTGCCTTCGGCTCAGGTCATGATCCTGGAGTCCCGGGATCGAGTCCCACATCCGGGCTCCCTGCTCAGCAGGGAGTCTGCTTCTCCCTCTGACCCTCTTCCCTCTCGTGCTCTCTATCTCTCATTCTCTCTCTCTCTCAAATAAATAAATAAAATCTTTAAAAAAAAATAAGATAGTAAGGCATGCACAGGCATAATAATATTGAAATAATAATATTGAAAGCCCATCTACTCTCAGGAAGTGTTTGAGATGGCTTACTATTAAGAAGGTGTGGTTACAGTAAAAAGGGAAACAGCACAAGAATTTTTTTTTTTAAAAAGGGAACAGAGAGGCACCTGGGTGGCTCAGTCGTTAAGCATCTGCCTTCGGCTCAGGTCATGATCCCAGGGTCCTGGGATCGAGCCCCGCATCGGGCTCCCTGCTCCGCGGGAAGCCTGCTTCTCCCTCTCCCACTCCCCCCGCTTGTGTTCCCTCTCTCGCTGTGTCTCTGTCAAATAAATAAATAAAATCTTAAAAAAAAAAAAAAAAGAAAAGAAACCCTGAGTCTAGAAATAGTTGGGGCTGAGCCATACTGACAGACCCCTAGGGAAAGTTCACAATTTTTAGCTGTTGAAGCCCTTAGAACTTCCCTGGCTCTTGCTCATGGCCTGGCTATAGTGATGTGCTGGAAATTTTTTACACAACCAACTCCTAAAAAAGAAAAATGGAAAAGGAAAGGGAAAAGAGCCCTGATTTCCAGGGTTTGCTGATTCCCATGGTGTCAGTACTCCCAGTGTGGCCCATATCAAGCTACCACACTGAAGTCCCTGCACACAGAGTTGGGAAACAAGCAGGCATAAACCAGCTTCAGTATACTACTGTCTGGTTATCAACTCTCTCTTGTATTCAGTGGAACTTTCCCTCCCAAAAAATAGCCTCCCAAAAATCTCCCTTTCAGATTTAGACAGCTTAAGGGGGATGCCTGTTCCTTACAATCAAAATATTTTTTTAAAGATTTTATTTATTTATTTGAGAGCGAGCATGCGCATTAGCCGGAGGAGGTGGGGGCAGAGGCAGAAGGACAAGCAGACTCCCTGCTGAGCACAGAGCCTGATACAGGGCTTGACCCCAGGACCCCAAGATAATGACCTGAGCCTAAATCAGAAACCCAACCAACTGAGCCACCCTGGCACACCAGCAATCAAAATATTTGTAACTAAAATACCTAGCTACCATAACCACGTTTTATTCTGAACAGTTACAGTCAGCTCACTAAAAGTATGTTCTAACTTTGGCTGATTTTTCACAGCCACATTCTTTAGATATTTATAGCTATTTGCATTTATTCATATCTATTTCTATAAATGTGTGGTCTTTACCAGATCCAGAGAGGAATGTTTTTAATCACTGCAGTTGCTTTGGAGAAGTATAATCTTTGGAAATCCCTGCCCTCTAGTGTCCAGTATAGGGAACTGCTTCTGTTTTAGCTGTGAATGTTCCAGGAGTAAGAGGTGAGTTTAAGGCTCTTGACACCCATCAGGGACTCTCCCTAGGGGATAGGCCACTGGGTATTATACATGTTGACTCCCCAGTGTTTCTTCCTTAATGAAGTCCAAAGGAACTTTACACCACGGTTTCTCAACCTCATCACTATTGACATTTTGAGCCAGATCGTTTTTGCGGGGGCTGTCCTGCACATTGTAAGATGTTTAGCTGCATCCCCGGCCTCTACCCACCAGATGTGAGTAGCATTCCCCGCCCCCCAGCTGTGACAGCCAA